ATTCACCAAACGACAACCCCATTTACTCCTCGGCAGAATGGTGTGTCTAAACGCAAGAATCGTCAGTTACTTGAAGTTGCCCGTTCCCTTATATTGGACATGTATGTTCCCCATCATCTTTGGGGGCATGTTGTTTTATCTGCTGCCTATTTGATTAATCGTACTCCTAGCCGGGTTCTTGATTTCAAGACTCCACATGATGTGTTTAGTGACTATGTTTTCCCTGTCTCAGTCTCCAAGTTGCCCCCTAAAGTTTTTGGGTGTGTTGCCTATGTTCATGTCTACTCTCATCAACAGAGTAAACTTGATCTTTGTGCTATGCGATGTGTCTTTATTGGTTACTCTTCTACTCAGAAAGGTTTTAAGTGCTATCATTCACCTACCCAAAAGGTGCATGTTACTTTGGATGTAACTTTTCATGAAGAAGTGCCCTATTATGTCTCTCCCTCCTCTCCAATTCAGGGGGAGAGGAGGAATGAATTGGAGAGTCTTGGATTAGAGAATGATGTGTTTAAAGACACTGCTTTCAGGAAGGAAATGACATGTCGCACTAAAGAAAGTGACCAGTCACCCATATTTAAAGATGAAACTTGTGGTCCCTATGAAGAAACGACTAATCGCCCTTTGGAACTCAACCAGTCACCCATATCTAGAGATGAAGTAGGTGATCTCGATGTCGAAATGACTGGGCACACCGGAGCGAGGGGCCACTCGCCTATATCTGAAAATAATGACAGTGATTCTTGTATGGATGAGTTCGATGCAATAACCCCCTCTGCCCTACTAGTGCCTCAATCTACTCGTGATAGTGAATCAAGTGAGGTAATTTCTAATGATCTATCTGTGTCAACTTATCAGTTACCCCCACGAACCACTCGTAGGAAACCTAAAGTACAATATTCTCCTAAGATACATTCCAAGTCTAAATATCCCATTAGCCATTATGTGTCAACTCATCGTTTGTCTAAATTATATGTATTATATTTGTGTCAATTATCTAGTGTATGTGTGCCAACTAAGCTGCATGATGCTTTATGTAACCCCAAATGGATGGATGCCATGAATGTTGAAATGGATGTCTTGAACAAGAATAAAACATGAGATTTAGTTCCGTTGCCATGAGGGAAGAAAGCTGTTGGATGCAGATGGGTGTTTACTTTAAAGCATAAAGCTTATGGTTCCATTGACCGTTACAAGGCTAGATTGGTAGCAAATGGTTATACTCAGATCTATGGAGTTGATTATTTGGAGACCTTTGCTCCAATGACAAAGCTTAATACAGTGCGTGTACTATTGTCCCTGGCTGCTAATCAGGACTGACCCTTATTACAATTCGATGTTAAAAATGCGTTTCTACATGTTGACCTCAAGGAGGAGATTTACATGGATCTCCCTCATGGTATTCCTGTAACCTCTAAGGAGGGTATTGTGTGTAAGCTGCGGAAGTCTTTATATAGATTGAAGCAGTCTCCAAGAGCGTGGTTATGGAGATTTGCAGCATCTAGGAAGAAATTTGGGTATGTGCAGAGTAACTCAGACCATACTTCGTTTCTAAAGCGTCATAAAGGTAAATTGACAGCTTTAATTATTTATATTGATGATATGATTGTGACTGGAGATGATCAGACAGAAATGCAAAATCTTCATGAGTATCTGGCTTCTGAGTTTGAGATGAAGTCATTGGGTGATTTGAAGTACTTTCTTGGGATTGAAGTTGCCAGATCTAAACGTGGTATCTTTCTGTCTCAAAGAAAGTATATTTTGGATTTACTTGCAGAGACTGGAATGTTAGATTGTAAACCAATTGATACCCCTAGTGAACAGAATCATAAGTTGGGGTTATATCCTAATCAAGTGCCTACAGATAAAGAGCGTTATCAACGACTTGTGGAAAAATTGATTTATTTATCTCATACAAGTCCTGATATTGCATATGCAGTGAGTGTAGTAAGTCAGTTTATGCATTCTCCTAGTGAAGATCACATGGGTGCTGTGATGCGCATCTTAAGGTATCTGAAAGTAACTCATGGAAAGGGGTTAATGTTTTGCAAGAATGGTCATACATATGTGGAAGGGTATACAGATGCTGATTGGGATGGTTCAGTTACTGATAGATGTTCTACGTCTGGGTATTTCACATTTGTTGGTGGTAATTTTGTTACTTGGAGGAGTAAAAAGCAAAAAGTGGTGTCTAGGTCTAGTGCCGAGCTTGAGTACCTTGAGATGGCTAGGTGTGTGCGAGTTACTATGGTTGAGAAGATTGTTGAGAGATTTTGGGTTTGGACCCTAGAAACCTATGGATTTGTATTGTGATAATAAAGCTGCAATTATGCATAACCCTGTGCAACATGATCATACAAAGCACGTGGAGGTTGATCGAAATTTTGTTAAAGAGAAGTTGGATGCTGAAATTATTTCTTTTCCGTTTATATCAGCCGAGTATCAACTGACAGATGTTCTTATAAAAGTTGTGTCTACTACGGTCTTTCTCAACTCGCTTGACAAGTTGGGTATGTGTGACATCTTTGCTCCGACTTGAGGGGAAGTGTTAGCGAGATCCTAGCTTAATTAGGATATTTATTTCCTAGTTTATTATGATTATATTTATTTCCTTTTTGTACATATATTGTGTAATTAGGTTTTTATCTTGTTTCCTAGTTTGACCCTACTAGGGTTACATCCTTGTACTATAAATGCATTCTTTTGGAGAATGAAATACAACCTGAAAAATATTCTACCCATATTGTTTGACTCTAGCATCCAGCAATTTCAAGCCAACAAATTTGAGAAACACATCTATATCTCTATCTTGGCAGCTCAACGATTTAAGTCCTAGCTGCCAAAGCTACATTCAATTTCCTAATAACGATGTATCAGAAAGATAGTCAAATTAAGGTGTGCCACAAATACTTGTCTGAATTGTCATATTTTTCATCTCTTAGTACTAGATTTTCAGAATCTAAAAGTTTGTACAACTGTTGTTGGGTTTGCTGGCTAAACAACAGTGTTTTTTCTAGGCAATAACATCACTTGAACTCAAGAGTTGAGGCAAGAAGGATCTCCATTTCTTTCTTGTTTTTTGGGGGGTCTTTTATGCTTAGAAGTTAATTGAAGACATGATGAATGAAACATCTAGAAGGGCAAGTAAAGAAATTATTTGTGTGACCATTCTATAAACAAATAACTGAATGATGGATCAACTGATTCGTGTGAGCTTTAAAGAAGAATTTCTTGCACGTGTTTATTTCCTATCGTTTTATCCTCTGATACCATGTTAAATTCAGAGAGACATGCCAGTGGCCCATTACTAACTACACCGATATTGTCCCCAACTTAACTACCTACAAAGCCCAGTAAGTGTGAGGTTTTATCGCAAAAGGTCTCGATAATATTAGTAATGGAACCATTCATTATATCTTATATTTTATTTAGTCAAGTTTCCGATGTGGGATTTATATTCTTCAACACAAGAAAGATACATTCGCCGTACACCTATCTAAAATACACTAGTTATTTATTTATTTTTTATATGTAATTCATGCACAAAGACCATCAACCACAAGAACCAATACACACACACACACACACACACAAAACCTTTTTTTTTTTTGTTTATCTACAAACTATGCTTTGATAACGTAATACATGAGAGCATTCAATCCAAAATTAATTGGCAATGAATGAAAATGTGATATTTATGAATGTTACTGTCGAGTTCCTTTTTATCGAACAACACAATATTACTGGTCATCGATGAGATGTAAATCTAAGGCCTCATCTAACAAAATAAAGACAATATGCCACCAGGGCTAGCAATGACTTCCTATATGCATATTCACGTTTTGAAGGTAAGCAATAAATGAGGAAACCAATAAATGAAGGTAAGCAATAAATGAGGAAACCAAACTGACGGCAAACCTCAACAAGAGTACAAACACAAGGCATGCAATTTCCAACAAAACATAAGAAACAAAAGCCAAAGACCTCAGACAACTTAAACAAGAGGCAATGTTGACCTGTGAGGTGGGTGTGTATCCCCTCCTTTGTGGTTGTGATGGTGTGGTCTCTGTTTCCTTTACAGTAATGATGACTTTATGTTGTAATTTATTTTGATTTTGTGACGGGGAAGATTATTATATTAGATTGTGCTAGTTCTAGTCTAATCTTTTTGTGTTTGTGGTGTCTTGTTCTTGTATTTGGTCTTCTCAACTCTTGCGTTCTCTGTGTGTTTCTCTCCCATTTTTAGGATTTGAATGAACATTGATTGATTACGACCCCAAAAAAAAAAAAAAAAAAAAAAAAAAAGAAGAAAAAGAGACAACAAAGCCAAACCAATCACTAAAACACCATAACAGAACATAGTAATTGATGATTGATTTCATGGGAATGACTGATAAAATCTTTCCACAAGCCAGTTGGTAAAAGTTACAACTACCACCACGAAATATATATTTTTCCTTTTTTTTTGCCCAATCTTCAAAGAAATGAAGAGACTTTCTTTGAATGGGATAAAAAGCCAGTGGAAACACTATGACATTCACGTTTCATGGACGTCTATGACAGCAACATGTCACCTAATTTTCTTAAGATAATTGAACACATCCGACTAATTTCAATTTTTAACAAAGGCAAATCTTTAGAATTGACGCCAAATGACGTATTTTCAATTGACCACGTATATTTGGAAGCCACATGATCATCGAATCCTGATGAACCACAGCCGTTGGATACAGACCATAATATACGTGTATTCTCTGTTTCCTCCTGTTCTGACACGTGCAACTGACAAATTCAATTTAAGATGACAAGGGCAACCTACCCTTTGTTTCATCTTAAATTCAAAGGACAACCAGAATAATTACACTTGTCACATGCCTTGATGCCCCAAATCCAATTTTAGCTCAACTAGTGGGGCCCAAAAATGGACAAAGAAAACTCACCTGGCTTATGGTTCATGGTCTCTGGTTCACTCCATCAAAATCTAATCTAATATTTTTGTTTTTGATTCGACAAAATGTAATCTAATCTGGAACTTTGTATAATTTGCACGGTGGTAGTTAAAAGTTAGCGGTCGGCAGTGGGCATAAAACCATGACCATTTCTTGTTTCATGTTCATTGGAATTTATGTGTCTGTCTCTTTCTTCACAACCTCAAATGCAGCTGATGCCATAACACAATCCCAAACCCTTAGAGATGGCAAAACCTTGGTTTCCAAACATGGCAGCTTTCAGTTGGGTTTTTTCAGTCCGACAGCTGGTGACACCAAGAACCGCTTCTTGGGGATTTGGTGCAAGAATTCATCAGTCTCGTCAGCCACAACTGTTACTTGGGTTGCAAATCAGCACAACCCCATCAATGGTTCATCAGGCCTTCTGATGATCAACAGCTCCGGAAATGTTGTCCTTCTAAGTCAAAATAGCACTGTTGTTTGGTCAATAGCTTTGTCCAAGCAACCCCAGAATCCGATTTTGCAGCTCTTGGATTCTGGCAATCTTGTCCTAAGAGAACCCCGAGATGGGAATTCAAGGAACTACTTGTGGCAAAGCTTGCAGTGGGACGAGAAGGCCGGTCTTTACCGGAGTCTATTGGCTTCGAGTTCAAGTGACGTCTGTGACAATTATGGCCGTTGTGGCCCCTATGGGATGTGTGACATTAGCAACTCAGAAGTTTGCAGCTGTTTAAAAGGGTTTCAACCCAAAGATCCTGGAAATTGGAACTATGCAGACAACTCCGGAGGTTGTGAGCGTATTACACCATTCGTGTGCCAAAATGGAGATGGGTTTAAGAAATATGGTGGGGTGAAGCTGCCAGATACAACACATTCTTGGGTCAACCAAAGTATGAGCCTCAAAGAATGCAGGGCAAGTTGCTTGAACAACTGTTCTTGTACGGCTTATGCAATCTCTAATGTCAAAGGGGTCAGTAGCTGCACTAAATGGTTTGGTGATCTTATCAGCCTTAGGAAGCTTCTTGATGAAGGGCAGGATCTATATGTTCGAATGCCTGCTTCGGAATCAGGTGTGTGATTTAATCTTTTAACTTTATGTGTACCATTTTAGTAATCATTTTTGTTTAGCCTAGGGCCTAAATAATTATGTAAACTTCTCTTGTTTTGCTAGATCTTGTATCAGTTGTTTTGTATTGCCTGATGAATCCATTAGCTGCTCTAAAAACTTTGATTATGTCCCCTGCTTTATAGTTCCCGTATTTTTAGTTGAAGCTGTGATATGACTCTAGTTGCTTTGCCCTTTTGAAATAACTTATGAAGACACAGACCGTCCGCGTAAGACGAAGATAATAGTGATAGCTGTAGCCGCAGTATCCATTGTTTCCGGGGCGTTCTTAGCTGTCTATTGTATTCACAGAAGGAGGAGAAAGCGCAAAGGTAATATTCTTCTCTAAAACATATTCCCATTAGTCCATATAATCTTTTTGTTCCCAATTGGTACAGTAAAGAGACTCTGCCTACATTCTGCAATGGAATATCCCGAACAAGAGGTGCTTTGATGTGTTCTCATTTAATCTCAACTTCTAATGCTTTAGCAAAAGTATTAATAAATATTGTCACCAACCGAAGAAATTTTTTACATTGCACATAATGATATAAAAAGTCCTCAGGAATGCTATGAGATAGAGCTTAATTCAAGTCTGGAAGTTCCATTGCAATTGTAACTGAAGCTCTTGTTTTAGCACTAGAATGAATTCAACAAAAGTTGCAAAGTTAAAGGGAACATCTGTTGACGTGAGTATATTAACTTAATCTGCACTAAAACCAGAACGAGAATAAGACTTAAGGAAATAAAGAAGATTGATGAAATCAAATGAGCAGCACAGGCCTTAGTATATATTTCATATTGATAGAGCCGAGAAAAATCATTTAACTACCAATTGAGGAAGATGCTTGATGTAGGGTAAGAAGAAGGCAAAAGATTCACTGGATCTGTATTTTCATTAAAGGTCAATTGACGTGTAATAAGTTTACATGTATCAAGTCAATTCCTTCAACGCTTTTCGATTTTATTTAAGAGTCTATTACTGATTTATTGTACCTGATGAGAAGCTGATCTTCTTTGTTTTTATTCTTTGTGTTAGAGAAACTGCGGAATGATGGAATGATGGGTCAGAACAATGAAGGACAGAAGGAAGACCTGGAGCTACCATCCTTTAGCTTGCCAACATTAATCACAGCCACTGATAACTTTTCGTTCAACATGAAGCTTGGAGAAGGTGGTTTTGGATCCGTGTACAAGGTAAATTTCTAATTTTGTGATCCTGTAAACATCAATGAAGCAGTTGTTTTGTTCAAAACTTCATAATGCTTTTGCTAAAGAGAATTTTCAGGGTAGACTAGTAGATGGGCAAGAGATTGCGGTGAAGAGGCTCTCCCAAAGTTCTAGGCAAGGAATCGCTGAATTCAAAAATGAAGTTATACTAATAGCCAAGCTTCAGCACCGAAATCTTGTAAAGCTTCTTGGCTACTGCATTCAGGGAGAAGAAAGATTGCTCATTTATGAATATATGCCCAACAAAAGCTTGGACTCCTACATTTTTGGTATGGATCCTTTGTAACTTACTAATACTGTTGGAATTAGATATCGCACTACAAACATTGTACTTTTGGTTCTAAGACGCTTGAATTTGTACTTCTGAGAATTCAAATTAGAGTGATGAATTAAAACTTGCCAGATCAAACTCAAGGTAGACTGTTAGATTGGTCTCAACGCTTCCACATTATCTGTGGGATTGCAAGGGGTCTTCTCTATCTGCATCAAGATTCCAGACTGAGGATTATTCATAGGGATCTTAAAGCAAGCAATGTGTTACTTGATAAAGAGATGAACCCAAAAATCTCAGACTTTGGCATGGCTAGAATATTTGGAGGAGATCAGACTGAAGGAGTTACAAAGAAAGTTGTTGGAACCTAGTAAGTATCCCCTATGCATCTCTGCCTATTATCTACTACTTTCTGAATCATTAAAGTTTTTGTTTCTTGTGACGTACTGCAGTGGTTATATGGCACCAGAATACGCCATTGATGGTCAATTCTCCGTAAAATCCGATGTTTTTAGCTTTGGTGTTTTATTGTTGGAGACACTAAGTGGAAAGAGAAGTAGAGGGTTTTATGATCGAAATCACAACCTCAACCTCATTGGACATGTAAGTATCAACTATTGAGTTTCTCATTTTACTTGTGTTTCATTTTGTGACTGTCAAACATGTTACATGTGCCTTTAGGCATGGCGATTATGGAAAGAGGGAAGGTCCTTAGAAATGATTGATAAATGCTTAAGTGATTCATGCACTCTCTCGGAAGTCTTGCGTTGCGTACATGTTAGTCTTTTATGTGTGCAACAGCTTCCTGAAGACAGGCCAACCATGTCTACTGTGGTTCTGATGTTAGGTGGTGAGAGCGACTTGCCTCAACCCAAAAAGCCAGCTTTCTTTTTAGGAAAACATCCATCCTCTGAAGCAGGTTCTTCTTCAAGTAAGAACCAAACGTCTTCGACTTTCGGTGTGAGAAACGAAACATCTTCAACTAATGAATCTTCGATAACAGTGTTGTTGCCTCGATAAGATTCGCTAATTGTACATCTAGTACCATGCTAATTTTGTTTGATCTGAAGGAACTATCTGATTTATACAAGGTATTATTCAATTCATATACTCATTTTGTACTCCATAAGTATAAGCAAAGAATTTGAACTCAAAGTAACAATGTAACCAGATGTTCAAACAGGCAGCCTGATTTTTTGTTGACAGACAGCTTCAAGATAGAAAGATGGGAATTCAGGGAACTATTTGTGACAGAGCTTTGACTATCCTTCTGATACATTTTTACCAGGAAATTGAATGAAGCTTGGCAGCTGGAGCTTAAAAAGACAGGTCTTGACTCTTGACCAATTACTTCCTTGAGCTGTACACAAGAAATGTGGCAAACTCAAACTTGAAATGTCTTTGCTTTGCTTCGGTGCCAAGAATGCTATGACCATTATGGCCCTTTAGGTGCATTTGGAAATTGTATCATGGGCTTCTTCAAGCATGTACCCAAACATTTCTTTTGTTTTGTTTTCTGTTTTTTTGTTTTTGTTTTAATTTGTCACAATGTAGTTTGTTTTGATTAGTATTTGATTTTATTCCCATGATGATTCCAATGCTTCATTAAATTAAATAGAGGTCATGATGTATGTCATGCTATATAACAATCATAAACTCTTAAGACACAAGAAAAAATAATTATTTCCACTTTGTCAAGGTGTTTTCTATAATTTTTATAGCAGCAAAACCTTTGTTTTTTTGTTGTTGCCAAAATTAGGAAGAGGAAGAGGGGAAAACTCACACACACGGATGGGAATTGAATCCACGATCACTGGAAGCACGCCAAAGACCTGGACCAATCTAACTAACACTCAATTGGTTAATAGCAACTAAACTTTACAAAGCTGAAGTTGCAGCATGCATAAATATTTGGTTGCCAACCCAGATAATATATATTTTTTAAAATCAGAAAAAGGAAACAAATAAAATTTAATAGTAAGGATTATAATATGGTAGACTATATAGTTGATATACTAAATAAAGAAATGAAAAATAAATATGAGATTAGTGGGATGACTAATCATAACACTCGATATTAAAGAGATGAAATTTAAAAATGATTAGTGGGTCAACCAAACCAAGCCATGTAATAAATCCAGATATTCCATGTCTTCATTTCATATGAGGCAAATACACGACTTGGTCAATTTCTTTGTCACATTCCAAATTTCAAAGCTTCAAAGCCTTCATTCTTTCATTCAATAACTTATCAAAATCACACTCCAATTCAAAATCATTTTACATCTCTGCCCTAATTCCCAAATACACAACAGAAGCAGGCAGGCAGGCTGAGGCAGGGCACAAGTTGCAGCAGCAAAATAACAGAAATCAAATGAAATGAAGTGAGGAAGAAGACCAGAAAGCCCCAAATCCCTCTCCGAAAAAAAAGAAAAGAGCAGAGAGAAAATGGAGAACGGTCACGATTGGAAAATTGCTGAGAAATTCTCAGGTTTGACGATTGCAGGCGCTGACCCAATTCGTTCTTCAAACAACAGCACCAGCAATCAAGACGGAAACTTGCTTCAGGTCATGAAAGCCATGGAAGCTGCAGAGGCCACAATCAAGCAACAGGTTGAAGAGAACATCCGATTGAGGACCCAGCTCGAACACAAGATGCTCGAGCTCCACAGATACAAGCTCCAGGAATCCATGCCCACCCAAATGCCGCCTTCTGTTGATCCATGGGCCCAGCACCTCCATGGATCTCATGATCAAGCTCATCAACCAGTTGCCCATGTCGACAATCAAATCGATAGGATTGCAAATCCCGCGCAGACTCATACAGAATCAGAAACCCGAGAAACCCAATTGGGTGGCAGCGAGATCAATGGAGCCATGAAGGTCGTTCGAGTTTCTGGTAATCAGGCAGCTGCAGAAAACGCCAGCAGTGGCATCTCTCGGTTGTCTTCACCGTCCACAACGACGTCGCTTTCTCCGGGAAGGTCGAGCACCGAAGGGGAATATGATCCTCAGCGTGTCAATTTTTCTGGACATGGGTTGATGCCATTGACTGAAAGAAACAACCCCAGCAACAGCCTGTGGAAGAAGGATCTGGTTGTTAAGGTTCATGAACATGAACAAGAGATTATGCAATTGCGAAAGCATTTGGCGGATTATTCGATCAAAGAAGCGCAAATTCGAAACGAAAAGTATGTGCTGGAGAAGCGCATTGCTTATATGCGTTTGGCATTTGATCAGCAGCAGCAGGACCTTGCTGATGCTGCATCAAAGGCTCTGTCTTACAGACAGGACATTATTGAGGAAAACATTCGGCTCGCTTATGCCGTGCAGGATGCACAGCAGGAGAGATCGACGTTTATTTCCTCTTTGCTGCCAATTCTGGCTGAGTACTCATTGCAGCCTCCGGTTCCTGATGCACAGTCCATTGTTGGCAATGTCAAGGTTCTGTTTAGGCATTTGCAGGAGAAGTTGCTTCTTACTGAGTCCAAATTGAAGGAGTTGCAGTATCAGTTAACGCCTTGGCGACCAGATTCGAATCAGCAGCCTAATAACATTAGCATTGCTGCGCCTCCTTCACCACCATCTCAGTCCATTGGTGGTGGAGCATTGCTAAATGTGAGCAGAAATGGGCTTGAAATGGTTGCTCAGAATCAGCCAACATATTCTTCCAATGTTGGAAGAGTGCCAGCTTCTGCTTCTGATACTCAGACAACCGCGGATTGGGATCATCATGCTCAGAGTGGTTTCGGTGGTGGTGCCCCCAACAATGTGGAAACCAATGACTTGGGATTGGGAAGGTATTCACCTGTTCCAAGCAGGACTTCAGCAGGCCAAGATCAAGATGTTCCTGTTAATCTTGCTGTTACTCAAGGTGATACACAGCGAGTAAATCATTATAGTGGAGGGACAAGCAATAGACAGGTCACCTTTCGTGATCCAGTTGGGAACACACACAGAGAGATGGATGATCAATATGCAGAGGGAAACCAGAATGACAGAGAAACCTCATCCAATTGGAGTGCAGGGAACTCTCCTTACACATCCCCGCTTAACGATTCCAGCTCCCCGTATCCTCATTATCTACCGCCGGTTCTCGAAGAGGGTGGTTCATCTTCATATTCAGAGGCTGCAGATGATGATCCATTACCAGCTATAGAGGGCCTCCAAATTTCGGGTGAAGCTTTTCCGGGGCATGAACTTCAAGCTAGCGGGTACTCTATCAACGGAACAACCAGTTGTAACTTTGAGTGGGTGCGCCACATGCAAGATGGATCTGTCAATTACATTGATGGAGCAAAGCAACCAAACTATCTTGTAACTGCTGATGATGTTGATACATACCTTGCTATCGAAGTCCAGCCTCTGGATAACAGGAAGCGCAAGGGAGAGCTTGTAAAGGTGTTTGCCAATGAGCACAAGAAGATCACTTGTGATACTGAAATGCAAGGCCAGATAGAGAAGATTCTTTATAAGGGTCAGGCTTCATTTAAAATATTTCAGTTCGCTGGATATCTTGACATTTGGGAACCTGCTACATTGGCCATTAAGAGGGGAGCTTACAGCATTAAGGGCAGTGGAGGACCTAGTGGAAGTGGTGTTGTAGTTACGGAGAAGTTTTCGCCAAACACATTTGTCACAATTCCTTATGGAAGTCCTGCAGAATTCATAATAGTTAGCGGCTCGGATGGTGGTGGTGGTGGTAATGAGTATATCTTAAGAGCAGACAATGAAAGCTGTTCTAGAGATACAGTTGTGCTCACATTAAGATTATTTATCCATAGGGCTGATGTGAGAAAAAACTCGAGGAGAGGGAAAAAGATGTTATTTTTTTAACAAGTAGCTGTTCCTGTTAGGCTCAGCATTCAGCAAGACTGTCTGTTGTTATTTGTTTTAGAGTCTGGGTGTCCATTACATATTTGGGGTGTTGGGTGTGCAGTTGAAATCTCAATTTGAGTAGCGTTGTGAGAAATTTTTGACTGAAATTGATGGCCTCATCTTTGCTCATTATTCTTTGTGGATGACAATGACAAGCTCTGAGAAACCCACCATTTGAAGGCCCAATGTTCTGTTTAATGGTCCCAAAATTTCAACATGATCCATTCCTGCCAAAAGAATTAAAAAAATCCATAGCATCTAGCATTAGTACTTTTTTGACCATGCTTGCAGAAACTCCAAAACATTCAAGCCTGCATTAGACCATCATCAGCCTGGAAGCTATTTTGGTGCAACAGTATCACATATATAATCACTGGCCACTTATCTTTTCCCTTCTTTTACTCTAGTAGCTACAAGTTTTCCAATGTTCATTGAAAAACTATTTCAATTTTTATATAATTTGACTGTTTCTGTGGGAAAATTGCACGTCAACACAGCAATGAATAATACCTCGAATAAATTACATGGTGCAAGATTTGCAATTAATTGCATCTCATCGAGCCTCAGGCAACGTTATGGTAGAGTCATAGGTTGAAGATGGTTCGTTAGTTGAAGATGTTAAGTTCTTACTTGAAGAAGAATCTGCTTCAGACGAATATTTTCCACCAAAGAAACCTGGTTTTTTGGGTTGAGGCAAGGGGAACTCATCACCTAACATCAGAATCACAGATGACATGGTTGGCCGGTCTACAGGAAGCTGTTGCACACATAAAAGACTAACATGTATGCAACGCAAGAGTTCGGATAGAGTGCATGAGTCCCTTAAGCTTTCATCAATCAACTCTAAAGACCTCCTTCCTTTCCACAATCTCCATGCCTAAGGCACATAATATGTTTGTTAGTCACAAGATCAAACACACGTATATGAGGTCTTTGATGGAGACTACTCACATGTCCGATGAGGTTAAGGTTGTCATCCGGATCATAAAATCCTCTACTTCTCTTCCCGCTTACTATCTCCAACATTAAAATTCCAAAGCTAAAAACGTCTGATTTTACAGAGAATTGACCATCAATGGCATATTCTGGTGCCATATAACCACTGTGGTATTAACAAGAAACAAAACACATTAGTTAAGAAACTATTAGATGATAATTAAAATGCTATACGAGAAGAAACAAATCACTTGAACTTCGAAAATAGTATGTAATAAGGAGAGTTATAATGGATACTTACTAGGTCCCAACCACGTTTCTTGTAACTCCTTCAGTCTGATCTCCTCCAAATGTTCTAGCCAAGCCGAAATCTGAGATTTTTGGGTTCATGTCCTTATCAAGTAATACATTACTTGCTTTAAGATCTCTATGGATAATCCTCAGTCTGGAATCTTGATGAAGATAGATTAGTCCCCTAGCGATCCCACGTATAATGTGGAACCGTTGCAACCACTCTAACAATCTACCTTGAGTTTTATCTGCAAGTTTTAATTGAAGTTACTCCAATTTGAAATCCCAAATGAGCAAGCTGAAGAGTTTTAGAACCTAAAAAGGACTAGTAAAACTATTTTTAACAGTGTATAGTAAGTTTTAAGGATCCTAACCAAAAATGTAGAAGTCCAAGCTTTTGTTGGGAAGATATTCATAGATGAGCAATTTCTCTTCTCCGTCAATGCAACAGCCTAGAAGCCTTACAAGATTCCGGTGCTGAAGTTTGGCTATTAGTAGTACTTCATTTTTGAACTCATTTGGCCCTTGTCCTGAACTTCGCGAGAGCCTCTTCACAGCAATTTCTTGCCCATCTTCTAGTCTACCCTGAAAATTCTCATTAGGAAAAGGATTACAAAGTTTCAGGAAAAAAAAAAAAAAACTGCTTCATTGTTCTTTACAGTTCTTATGCTTACATCTAGGAAACTTACCTTGTATACAGGTCCAAAACCACCTTCTCCAAGCTTCCTGGTGAATGAAAAGTTATCAGTGGCGGTGACTATTGTTGGCAGACTAAATAATGGTAGCTCCAGGTTGGCTTCCTGTCCTTCATTGTCCTGACCCATCATTCCATTCTTCCTAATTTTCTCTAAAAAAATAAAGAAGATCAACTACTTCCCAAGTATGATGAATGAGAAGCAAAATATGAATACATTTAGAGTAATTACAAATCAAATGACCATATAATTAAAATATAAAAGCAGTGTATCTTTTGTGTTTTCCTATCCTGTACTCATTCATTCTCTTAAAAGGGTCACTGTTCCACTCAGGTAACAGAGCCTATACAACAAATAACTGCAAACTTAAGGAATCTAAATCCACATGAGTAATGAGTTTAATCTGCCCTGAAGCAAATGTCATGGGGAGTGGATAGCGCATGATTCAGTACACCATGCTATGGTTGGAAGCTAAATACACCATCTTAAGAAAAGAGATCATTGGTAAAGTCAAATGAGCAGCACTTGATGCAGACGTAGGATGGAACCCAGAAATATTATATAATTATCAATTAAGAAAAATGCTTGATTTGAAGTCAACACAAACTAGAATAACAAGAACCAACATCTAGTCTTCTATATGAAAAGAAGTCCTGGGTGGCCTTTTTTTATTGTTTGATCATTGTGTGATTGAAATTCATGAAGTGTGTATTAGTTTCATCAAGACAGCCTCACAATTCAGACAGCGGCTTGGTATTTTTGGCTGGTGACAATGTTCAATAGTGGAATTCATTTCTAAAGCATTGAAAGTTGAGATTAATGAAAACACATAAAAAAAATATTCTTGCTCAGAATACTGCATTGCAGAATGGGTGTAGCAACCTCTCTTTATAATATTTTATTGAATAACACTAAGGTAAAATGGCAATAGTTTTACAAAGTTGAAGGTCATAGAAGAACTAGTACCTCTGAACTTTCTCCTCTTTCTGCGAATGCAATAAACAGCTAAGAGTGTCCCGGAAACAACTGAAGCAACAGCTACAACTATCACGGCTATCTTTGTCTTAGGCCAATTAGCCTCTTCATAGTTAATTTCAACAGAGCAAGAGAACTACTGTTAAATGACAGCTAGAATGACAAATATGAGCAGAACATAAAACAAGTGAAATGATCAAAAGTTTACAGAAAATTATGGTTTCATCAGGCAATTCACAACTATTGGCTTAATGATTGAGCCCCTAGGAAGAAAATGATTAATGATTTAACATTAGTAGCGCACCTAATTATTTACTGAGGAGAAAAAGAAAATCTGTTGCACATACTTAATCCTGAAGCAGGCATTTGAATATACAGATCCTGTCCACCATCCAAGAGCTCTCTGATGTTCATCAGATTACCAAACCAGATGGTGCAGCCACTGACTCCTCCTTTGACACTGGAGCTTGCGTAAGCCATACAAGAACAGTTGTTCAAGCAAATTTCCCTGCATTCCCTGAGACTCAAAGTTTGGTTGACCCAGGAATTTGTGATGTCTGGCAACTTTACCCCAGGATATTTGATAAACTCATGTTTATTTTGGCAGCTCAAAGGTACAGTACGCACACAACCTTCTTGGTATTCTCCAAAGTTCCATTTTCCTAGTGCTTTGGGCTCGAAGCCTTTGAAGCAACTACAAACTGGGGATTTAGTAATGGTACATATTCCATTGGGTCCACAACGTCCATTACTGTCACAGTAGTCTCCTGAAGTTGATGTGTCATGCTCTACCCTTGACGCCAATAGACTCCTGCAAGCCCTAGTCTTTACGTTCCATTCAATCTTCATACCCTGAAACAACTTATCAGAGTGAGAGTCAAAGCTTTGCCACAAGTAGTTTTCTGAGTTTCCATCTTTGGCTTCTCTTAGGACAAGATTGCCAGAATCCAAGAGCTGCAAAATCGGATTCCTGGGTTGTCTGGACAAATTTATTGACCAAACAACAGTCTGATAGTGGCTTAGAAGGACAACACTGCCCGTGCTGTTTATCATCAAAATCCCAGATGAACCATTAATGGGGTTTTGCTGGTTTGCAACCCAAGTGACATTTGTGACTAATGAAACAGAACTCTTGTACCAAATTCCCAAGAAGCTGTTTTTGGAGTCAGGAGCTGGTTGACTGAAAAACCCCAATTCAAAACTGCCATGTTTGGAGATCAAGGTGTTACGATCTCTAAGGGATTGGGATTGAGTAATGGCATCAGCTGCAGTTGAGGTTTTGATGAAAAAGAGGGACACATAAATTCCAATCAACATGAATGAAAAAATACTGCCCATTGTTTTCTTTCTAGTCTTGGAGTTCTACATCATCTATGCCTGCCTGCCTGCCAGCCTACTACTAAGTAAAATCTTTACAAGTTCAAGATTCTTAGATGGGTAGATACGTACAAAGATGATGTAGTATTGTATCCAGAAGAAGGGGGCATAATGCCATTGACCGCCATCCACAGATTTGTTGACTTTTGTGGCCCACAAAGATGAAAAAAAACACGGCTTGGTCCCACAGATCGAAGTTTAGCGGGTGACGGGCCAGCCTGGGAATTGGAAAAATTATATTCTTTGTAAATATACATGCGTAATACTACTTAAAATGAAACTGGAAAGAGTAAAGTAAGTCCATCCGATTCTGGAGCCTCAACTCAGACAATAATAGGAAGAAAGCCGAAGTTGTAACCCAAATAAATAAAGAGAGAGAGAGAGAGAGAGAGAGAGAGAGAGAGAGAGAGAGAGAGAGGGAGACCTGCAATTCCTTCTTTTCCAGGAGAAGAGAAGACCCAGGAAGATTGTTGGGGTGAAGGAGATGGAGAAGTTTGGGGGGTCATGGCGCGAAGTCCTTTAGGGTACACACAAGTGCATTTGGACCGAAAAAGAAGATGAAAGTGAAGTGGCCATAGTAGACACGCGGGCCCTATTTGATTTTATTGGGTAGTCACATCACATAGAGCCTACTGCGAATCTGTGATAGGGAGAAAGTCAGAAATAAAAGGGATTTAAATGATGTGGGGACGAAATTCCTAACTCATTTATGAACTTGATAAAAACTCTACGGGGTTGATTGAATGATTAAAGAGAGTTTTACTAAAGAGTGGTGATTTCCCCACTCCTTTTTCTCCTATTTTATCCACTTACACTCCTTTTTTATAACTAAAAAAGGAGTGTAAGTGGATAAAATAGGAGTGGGGAAATCATTGCCCTTTACTAAAACATCCAAAATAGGGACTGAAATTATAAAAAATCTCAACACTCAAAACACTTTATAAACATATCCAAAATCCATCATTATACATACTCAAAACTCATTTATAAACACACCAAAAAAATATACAGTTGTTGATTTTGGGGTTAATTTTGGGTGTGTTTCTATGTTTAAATAGTGTTTGGGTTTTTTTATAAATACATGTCTAGGATTGGGTTTATTTATAAATTTGTAATGATTAAACGTGTGCGATGGAGTTGAACAGTTACATGAATAACCGAGGACTAAAATGTAAGTTCAAAGATCATTGGTAACCATAGGCATTGACTTGTTTTTTTTTTATACAAGCCATAGTTTAAAGGGAGCTGCTTTTTCCACTCTTTTTTAATTCACTTACACTCCCTTTAGTGTAAATGGACAAAAAAAGAATGGGAAAATCACCATCCTAATTTAAATTGTTCTTATCTATGATGTGGGATATTGAATTCAGGAGTAAGAGAGTGGGTACATGTCCTAACAAATTGATCTAACTTATGTTTGTTAGATGTGAGAAACTCTCATACAACAGGGATATCATTTTTTACTATTCCAGCCAATAAGACAATGACACGTGAAAAAATTAGACATTAACTTTTTAGATTGATCATTGTATCCCTTAAAACAACTGTTGTAAGTCCACAATACATTTGCAGCACAACATCAGGCTAGCTGGTTGAGACAAGGTGAATTGGATAAATATCTAGCTTTGGTAAGCATAGGTAACTTCAATATCGAGTGCATTGTAGCAGGTAAAGTTTTGATATTTAGCCCTTGAAAAAAAAAATTACCAAAGGAGTGACTTAGCTTGGACAGTAGAAAGATCTATCATGGAATGTTTGATAAACAACGTTTCATATATTTTTTCTGCATCAAATCTTTGATATGCATAGAATGTATGCCATTCATTGCAATTGGTTTAACCTTGATAACAAAATGGATATTTTCTGTTTTCATTTCTTTCTGCTTTAGCTGAGTTATTAGTGATTCTATTATAAGAGTTTTCACAGTGGGAGGTGTATATGGGGGTGTATGTTAAATATACATCCCGAGTCACCAGAATCGTCTCCAATGAAGAGATGTAAATGGATATAAATATACATCACCACCATGGGGATGTAAAATAAAATGTATATTTACATATATTTTTACATCCCTTGTAGGCGGGACCCACCCGAGAAAAGAAAAGAAAAATGAAGAAAAGTCAGCATAAAAGACTGGGACCCATGGCTACACCCCCAAATTTACACCCCCTATTGGAGCAAAAAATATATTTACACCCCCCGGAGGTGTGAAGGGGATGTAAAAGTAGCTTTACACCCCCGAATTTACACCCCCCACTGTGGATGCTCTTATATAAGTAGGATCTCTACAGCTGTTCTTGTTAGGCTCCATTACATGTGTGGCTGTGCAGATGAAATTTGTATCCACTGACTGGGACGGAGAGCTAATATTGATGGCCCATCCTTCCTTGCTCATGATCATTCTATGCCAATCACGAGCTTTGAGAAACACATCATTGAAGAATGTTAGGACATTGAAGGCCCAAAACTGTTTAATGCACCCAAATCCGCAACATGATCCATTCCTGCCAAGCTTTTTTAGACAGGTGCTTGGAGAAACTCCACCTATCAAGCTTCAAACAGAACATGAGCCTGAAAGTGGAAGCTATAATGTTACTTTTACTCCAAGGTGCATTCAAAAAAAATATTCCATGTGTTAATATAATTTGACTGTTTCTGCAGTAAAATTGCACTGCAACACTGTTATCAATAATACCTCGAAAAATTTACATGGTACAAGATTAAATCTTATCGAGCCTCCAGCACGGTTATTGTAGAGTCAAAGGGTGAAGATATTTCGTTCTTAATTGACGAAGAATCTGCTTCAGATGAATATCTTCCACCAAAGAAACCTGGCCTTTTGGGTTGAGGCAAGGCACCCCCATCACCTAACATCAGAATCACAGATGACATGGTTGGCCTGTCTTCAGGAAGCTGTTGCACACATAAAAGACTAATGTGTATGCAGTGCAAGACTTCTGATAGAGCGCATGAGTCGCTTAAGCTTTCATCAATCAACTCTAGAGACCTCCCTTCTTTCCACAATCTCCATGCCTAAGAGGCACATGATATATATTTTTATTAGCCACAACATCAAACACAGGTAAATGAAGAATTTGATGGAGAATGCTCACATGTCCAATGAGGTTAAGGTGTTCATCCGGATCATAAAATCCTCTACTTCTCTTCCCACTTATTATCTCCAACAACAAAATGCCAAAGCTAAAAACGTCTGATTTTACAGAGAATTGGCCATCAATGGCGTATTCCGGTGCCATATAACCACTGTAGTATTTAAGAGACATAACAAATTAATTTAAAAGTTAGTAGATAATAAGGAGAGATGTAATGGAGCAAGAAGCAAAACACACTAGTTAAGAAACTAACAGATCATAAGCAGAGATGTTCTGCATACTTACTAGGTTCCAACAACATTTCTTGTAACTCCTTCATTCTGATCTCCTCCAAAAGTTTTAGCTAAGCCAAAGTCGGAGATTTTTGGGTTCATCTCCTTGTCAAGTAAAACATTACTTGCTTTAAGATCTCTATGAATAATCCTCAATCTTGAATCTTGATGCAGATAGAGAAGACCCCTGGCAATCCCACAGATAATGTGGAAGCGTTTTGACCAATACAACAGTCTACCTTGAGTTTGATCTAGCAAGTTTTAATTCATGTTACTCCAATTTGAGATCTCATAAGTAAAACTGATATAAAAAGTATATAGTAAGATATAAAAAGGGTCCGATCCGAACCAAAAATGTAGAGGTCCAAGCTTTTGTTGGGCATGTGCTCATAAATCAGCAACTTCTCTTCACCCTCAATGCAACAACCTAGAAGCCTCACAAGATTTCGGTGCTGAAGTTTGGCTATTAGTCGTACTTCGGTTTTGAACTCGTTTGATCCTTGCCCTGAACTTTGTGAGAGCCTCTTCACCGCAATTTCTTGCCCATCTACTAGTCTACCCTGAAATTTCTCATTAGCAAAAGGATTACAGAGTTTAAAGAAAGAAAAAGAAAAACTGCTCCAGTGAGGCTTAAAGTTCTTTTGCTCACACATAGGAAATTTACCTTGTATACTGGTCCAAAACCACCTTCTCCAAGCTTCTTGTTGAATGAAAAGTTGTCAGTAGCAGTGGCTATTGTGGACAGACTAAATAATGGTACCTCCAGGTCTTCTTTCTGTCCTTCATAGTTCTTACTCATTGTTCCGTGCTTCCCCATTTTCTCTAATAAGAAGAATGCTAGATATAAGTTTCCACAAATTGGAAAGAAACTTCTTGCCCATATTAAGCTTATGTCAACAACACTCCCAGGTAGTTTTTTTTTTCTTTTGCCTTTTTTGTTTCTTTTAATCATTATTGGTAATGCAAGTCATTCCATATCCATTAGTTTCACCATACCTGCCTCAGAATTCAGAATCACATGAGATGCTGTCAATGTGTCAAAATCTCAGTGTGTTTACTTACGGTTTTCTTAAGCGTAGAGAGTTGAAACTAAATGAGAACACATCAAAGTATTCTTGCTCAGGATATTGCATTGCAGAATGGAGAAGTAACTCCCCTCTTTACAGTATCTAATTGAGAAAAGAAAAAAGCAAAGAAGGTGGTTATAGAAGAAATATTACCTTTGAACTTTGAACTCTTACGGCAAATGCAACAAACAGCTAAGAGCATCCCAGAAACAATGGAAGCAATGGATACAACTATCACTGCGATCTTTGTCTTTCGGCAATTCGCGTCTTTGTAGTTTCAACAGGGAAAAACAGTTATTGTTAAATCACAGCTAAAATGAAAAATATGTGAAGAACATAAAGCAGGGGAAATAATATAATGGATTCAGCAGGCAATGTGATTAAATAAATACATAATGGAGAACCTAATTATTCATTGAGGACAAAAGAAAAACCTGTTGCACATACTCAGTTCCGAAGCAGGCATTCGAATATACAGATCCTGCCCACCAGCCAAAAGCTTTCTAATGTTGATAAGATCACCAAACCAGATGGTGCAGCCACTGCCTTCTCCTTTGATACCGGAGCTTGAGTAAGCCATACAAGAACAGTTGCTCAAGCAACTTGCTCTGCATTCCATGAGGCTCATACTTTGATTAACCCAAGAATTTGTGATATCTGGCAATTTCACTGCAGCATATTTCATAAACCCAACTTTAATTTGGCATTTCAAAAGTTCAGGCCGCACACAACCTTCTGTATATTCTCCCAAGTTCCATTTGTCTGGTCTTTTGGGCTTGAACCCTTTTAAACAAATGCAGACTTGTGAATTACTAATGTCACACATTCCATTGGCGCCACAAAGGCCATCGTTGTCACAGTAATCACCTGAAGTTGATGCTAATTGACGCCGGTAAACCCCAGTGTTTAAGAAACCCAATTGAAAGCTGCCATGTTTGAAAATCAAGGTGTCAGCTGCAGTTGAGGTTCTGCAGAAAATGAAGAACACATAAATTCCAATGGAAATGAATGAAAGAATTTTGTCCATTTTTTTCTAGTCTTGGACTAGTATGCCTACTAATTACAATTCACAACTGTAAAGTCTTTAATTTGAACAAGTTGCAGATGAAGATGATAGCTAGATGGAGACATTATGAAGGAGCTCAAAGGCATAGACCTCAACCACAAGTTAGTTGACTTTTTGACCCACTTAATGATGAAACCAGATTTCTTTGCCTGAAAAAAGGAGCTAGAAGTTGGTGGGGCAGTTTGCCAACATGTGATTTGATTAATGTGGTTGCTGCATGTGGAATTCCAGGGGCTATTGGACCCAAAAATTATAAAAAAAATTGGAAGAGTAAAAGCAAATATTGTTTGAACTGGATGCCAAAGAAAGTCATCCAAAATATTCAAAGGCAACTAGAACGAATGTCAAAGAAAGCAGCGATGTTGAAACGTTAAGATTGGCATCCCAGCAACTGAAATGTCAAGAACATAATTACACAATCTGAAATTTTAATTTTTTTTCCTTTGTTATAGTCAAGTGGCAAGTAAAGTATTGTATAATATGTGCAAGGGAGTCAAGTTTCAAATAAACCTCCCCTCTCCTTCTGGCCTTGTACTTAAAACAAATATTTGCAGGGGTCTCATTGCTGACAAATGATGTGCTGTAATATGCTGCAAGCTACGCTACCTGCCTGAAATCGAGAACGAAGTGCCAAGAGTTTTGGCATGTCTTCTGGAGTCTTGAGCTGAGTGATAAGCTACAGAAAGTGTCTTGCATTTGCAATTGGAGATAGTTATAGGCATTAACTTTTTAGATTTATCACCATAAACCATTGAAACAACTTTGTATGTCCACATTACATTTGCAGCACAGAACTGCTTGTATGGTTGGGGCAGGGTAAATTGGGCAAAAATCCAGTTTTGGTTTGATTATGGACAAGTAGTGGGAATAAGGCACTGATTATTTCAACATTGAGTACATTGTAACAGTTAAAATTTGACAAGAAGGATTATTGTAACTTGGGCATTGGAAGACTTAAACATATATACAATGTATGACAAACAACACTGCATAAATTTATATGATCTAATGATCCTTAACGAGGCTCGAGTTGTGTAATGGTTAAACCATTAGAAGATGGTTCGTTGTTAATTAAGGGAAACTCTCCGTTGAGTAAATCCTTTTCTGGAACAAATCCTGGTTCTTTGGGCTCAGGCAAGGCACTTTCACTACATAACATCTGAACTACAGATGACATGGTTGGCCTGTCCTCAGGCTGTAGTTGCACACATAACAGACTGACATGGATGCATCGCAGTACGTCTGATAGAGTGCACGAATTCCCAAACCCTTCGTCAATCAGCTCTAATGGCCTTCCTTCTTTCCACAATCTCCATGCCTAAAACATGTTGAACATATTTGTCATTCATTGTTTTAACATACATAAGAAAAAAGAAATCGTGGGCTTGAACTTACTGGTTTAACTTACATTTCCAATAAGATTCAGGCGGTGGTTCAAATGATAGAACCCTTTACTTTTCTTTCCACTTATTATCTCCAGCAGTAAAATACCAAAGCTAAAGACATCAGATTTCACTGAGAATTGCCCTTCAGTTGCATATTCAGGTGCCATGTAACCACTAGATATAGAGAAGATCATTGAAACAAATTAAGCAATGTTAAATTACAAACAAAAGGAGAATTGTATAGAATGCAAAGAAAATGCCAGAAATACTTACTATGTTCCAACCACTCTGTTTGTATTTCCTTCAGTTTGATCTCCACCAAAAGTTCTAGCAAGACCAAAATCTGAGATCTTCGGGTTCAAGTCTCTATCAAGTAAAACATTACTTGCTTTGAGATCTCTGTGTATAATCCTCAGTCTGGAATCCTGATGAAGATAGAGAAGCCCCCTAGCAATCCCACAGATAATTTGGAAGCGCTGAGGCCAATCTAACAATTTACGTCGTGTTTCATCTGGAAAGTTTTAAACTTGAACTGTCAGAGGAGTATTGTACAGTAGGCTAGTCCCACTACACTATCAGAATTTCAAGGGATCAAACCAAAAACAAAGTCCAACTAGATTCAGAATTTTAAGGGAACAAACCAAAAAGGAAGTAGTCCAAGCTTTTGTTGGGCATGTATTCATAGATCAGCAATTTCTCCTCTCCCTGAATGCAGCAACCAAGAAGCTTTACAAGATTTCGGTGTTGAAGTTTGGCAATCAGTATTACTTCATTTTTGAACTCCTTTATTCCTTGTCCAGAACTTCTTGAAAGTCTCTTGACTGCAATTTCTTGACCATCTACGAGTCTACCCTGAAGATTATTCAGATTTGCAGAAAGATGGTGATGTCCCAAATGAAGCAAGTGCTTCCTCAAACTATGGTTCTTATACTAGCAGATTAAAAACTACCTTGTATACAGGTCCGAAACCGCCTTCACCAAGCTTATTGTTGACTGAAAAGAAATTTGTGGCACTCTCTATTGTTGTCAAGTCGAACAATGGAAGCTCCAGATCTTCATCTTTCTGTTCTTCAATGTCTTTACCTTATAAAACGAATAAAAAGTAAACACTATCAGTCATTATAGCTACTCTTGTTCAAGATAATGAACTAGTGATTCTATTACAATTAGTAGGAAAATCTTCCTGCAAGTTTTTGAAGATAAATATGGCTCTAATTCTATCACTGCAAAGGCGGTTAGAGTAGGTAATCTTACCTTTGACATTTTTCCTGCCTCTGGCTTTGAGAATGCAACAATAGCCAACTAAGAGCATCCCAAGAATAAGGGCAGAGGCAGAAGCAATAATCACAGCTATCTTCCACTTCTCATCTTTCCCTCCTTCATGTATGATTTTGTTGGACACAGTATGCAGACATAGTTAAAATCAAGACAAAACTTACACATAACAGAAAAGGGACATTCTAATTCATAAAGATCAAATTGGAACATCCATAAGTTCATACCTAGTTCTGAGGCAGATATCTTGATATATATATCCTGGTCACCACCTGGCATTTGCTTGATATCGACAAGATCATCGAACCAGATGGCACAACCACTGCCTCCTCCTCTCACATCCAAGTTTGTATAAGCAGAACAAGAACAATTAGATAAGCATTTGGTCCTGCATTCCTTGAGATTCATGCTTTTATCTACCCAACTATGCGTAGTATCGGGCAATTTCAACCCGCGATACGCGGCGAATCCATCATTCTTGCAGTTCAATGGCTTCCTGCGCTCACAGCCTTGTGAATACTCATTTAAGTTCCAGTTCTCCGGTGATCTAGGACTGAACCTATCCAAACATTGACAAATTGGGGATGAACTAAGAACACAATTGCCATTACCACCACAGTGGCCATAACTATCACAAGGGTCTCTTGGAAACGTTGCATAAATTGTCCAATTCCGGTCTGCTTCCGACCAAATCCACTCCTGTCGATACGGCGTCGACGTGGTTTGGTTCATGATCATCCTTCCAAGTACAGACTTATTCACCATGTCGATTGTCAAGTAAACCTCATCCTCATTGGAGATGAAACTGAAGTTCAATGCAGGAAGTGCGTTGGCTGGTTTACCACTGAACAAAACACCATTCCATGGGCCACTTCTCAAGTACTCTTTGGACTCTTTCCACATAACTGGCTCAGGATACTCATGCAGCTCCATTTCCCAGATGAAGTCCCCTGGAGAAGGGTCATCTGAACTTTTCCATGCCGTTAAACGTCGATTAAGTCTGGTCCTCAAGTCCCACCCAAGCTTCATTCCTGGCAACAAAGTATCAGATGGGTAGTCAAAACTCTGCCACAAGTACTTTTCTGAGTTTGCATCTTTCTCATCTCTGAGGACAAGATTGCCATTGTCCAGGAGCTGCAGGACAGTGCGCTGGCTCTGGGACTGTTTTGATGAATTTGTAGACCAAACAGTCTGGTTGTTGTTGTTGTTGACAAGGACAAGATTGCCTGTGCTGTTGATCATCAAGCTGCCAGTGGAACCATTGATTGGAGTTTGCCTGTTTGCAACCCAAACAACAGTTGGAGTTGGGATGTTCTTGTACCAAATTCCCAAGTAGCGGCTCTTGGAAATGCCTGGACTGAAAAAACCCAGCTCAAATATTCCACCCGGAGAAGAAACCAATGACTTGCCATCACTGAGGGACTGAGATGAAGTAAGGGTATCAGCAGCTGATGAAATTCTGCTCAGAGAAAAGAGTAAGCAGATATTGAAAACCAAGAAACAGATGAGCTCCATTGAAATCTATTCTAGCTTTCTCAGTATCAAGCTTACTGCTTACAAGTTGAAGTATTGATACTATTTGGTGGAGCATTAAGAAGAACCCAAAGACCCGGAACTGCACGCAGTTGACTTGTCTGTAGCAGACAAATTTGGTCCCTTTCCAACCTAGCATTAAAAGCGCACTTCATTTCTTTAACTCTCTCTTACAATGAGATAGCAGGTGTGAGAAATCTTTCTTATTATAGTTACAATATGGCTTTCAATGAGATAGCAGGTGTGAGAAATCTTTCTTATTATAGTTAGATTATGGCTTGTATTTTAAAAAAATTCTTAATCATTTTCTTACAATTAAGATTTTGTATTGAAAATTAAAAGGGAACGTTCCTTGAAATATATTTTTTAGCCGGAAGTTGAAAGGTTTTTTTTCTGGTAAATACCACGAGATGTCCTCATATTCGAAGGGTAAAATTAATCTCCGCTCAGAATTCGACTTGTCCATGACCACAAAATACTTTTAATGAATTTCGAATCTCTGCCATTGAGGCATCAGATAACTCGCTAGCTGAATATGACAATTTCTAAACCACACCTTGTGGTTGGAAGTTGAAAGCTTTGCTGTAGCCGCGGATGGCTTTCAAATTGCAGTAAGGGATGTAATTGGGGGCTATGCAGCAGACTAGTTAGGAAAAAACAAGGCGTCCGCTTTTTCCATGCCAATATTATTGACTAGAGTAATGCTCTTGGTCAAGGTTTACTTTAGATCTTGACACTTTTTTATAAGGTGGTTGGCTGACACTTTTATGCATCAACAACTCCAATATAGTTAGATGTAAAGTTCTTCTAACAGGATACTCGTCCCTCGGATCCAGCAAGAAAATCTTATTTTTCAATTTTCTTTAGGTTGGATTTCATTTATTGGTGTAGTCTTTAGTCCAAAATGTGATACTTAAAACTTAAAATCGAAAGTGCTGATGGGGGTTCAGTTTAGTGAAAAAGACCCACTTGTAGATTAACGGTCTCAAATTTGAACTCTCATAGCACCTTTATAGTATCTCTATTAAAGGAGTTTGGACGCACAGTTCTAGTTCATTTTATTATGTTTTCAGGCTTACTCTCAACCTAAATAAAAAAAAATCAAATTCAATTGTTTGTCGAACTACTTTGCTGCTGAAGTGTCAAGCTTAATAAAGGTCGGTTATTTTATCACCAAAAGCAACTCATCAACATGACGACTTTTTTTTTTGTATTTTTATCTTTAATATCAATAACCCACTTGGACTATTCTGTGTGAATTTTCAAACCACTAATATGTCATTCTAGAAGAAGAAAAACTCTTGGTCCGATGACCACGTCACTCGTCCGATCGCTTTCATGAGCAAACAAGAGTTCCAGCATTTAGGTGTCATCCGGACCTAGGTTTATTTAATTCAGAAAATACTAGGATCCAACCAAACCGAGCTATTCTAGAATGAAGGTTTTTGCTGTCATCAGCCTCTTCTTCCAAAAAGACACTACGCTACGTCTAATACATGTGCAAGACTAACTCGATAAAATTGCGAAAGGAAAAGGGGGCTTAAATTATAAAAAAACTCAAGCACTATTTAAACATATAAACACACCCAAAACCCATCATTACACATACTCAAAATCCATTTATAAACACACCCAAAAAGTTGACTTTGGGGTTGATTTTGGGTGTGTTTCTATGTTTAAATAGTGCTTGGGTTTTTTTTATAAATACATGTCTAGAATTGGGTTTATTTATAAATTTGTAAAAAATAAATGGTTTGGATCGTTGGAAAAAAATTCGTAGGGTACCATAAAAGTGTCCCTCAAATAAAATTATTTAAGGGATTCCTCAATAGAAGGGGACTGTGTATATATATATATATATATATATATATATATGACTGTGATGTGCCTGTAAAAAAGGAGCCAAGTATTTTCCTTCCGGAAATTATCGTGTGATGCACTTTAGAAACTTGGATTGCCAATGGTTTCATTAAGCCTGTTGTTTTTCCCTTGAGTCAAAAAGCTTGTGGAAAAATGCATCACATGCCTATGTAATTTCTAGATTTCCACAGACCTTTCATTACGCCTGTTATTTTTTCTTGATTCAAAAAGCTATGAGAACAATGACTTGTAAAAATCTAAATCAAATGGACAATGGATTTTGATAATTTGTGGATTGCGATGGGTGTTTCTTTGTCTTTCTCTATAAGTCAACAACCTTCTGGAAAACACACCCCTTAATGGCGGTACATATGCAATCATAAACTAGAAATTAGTTAACAAATTTAATTGGATCCAGTTTCTTTTCTTCAGCTTTTCAGTGACCCAGAGACTGAAATGTTTTAGGTTTTATATATATATATATAACCTCAAAGTCATAAATGTACGCCATGGCTGAAAACGCAGGTCACGCTCACAGGTCATCAAATAAATGCATTTCTTTTCATTTAAAAAATAAATAAAAAATAAAAGAACAAGAAGCCTTTCTATGCCTCATTATCACATTGACTTCAGACTTTGGCTTTACTACGGTACCAGGGTCCGTTATTCACGTTTTGGGTTCAATGGTCGCATGTGCTCTTACGTCACTCATTGTGTATTGTACTAGAGTATTTTAATTGATTTTAAGTTGGATACTATAAGATTCTAATTCCAAATTAAAATTTCACATAGTCATGTTTTAAGATAACCTTACTGCTTCGTTCACAAAGTGTACGTTTGAAAAATAGCTGGTAGCATGTACATGGATAGCTAAAAGGTTTTTATCACTCAACCTATATATTTTTCAATAAAGGACACCACTTCGATCTATAAACTAAGTTACCGCGAACTAATCAATCGTTAATGAACCTCCAAAAGTGTAATTGATATTTAGTTTCTTGAAGATGATTGATTACCTGAAGAAGAGCCTGGTTCATGTGATTCCTTTTCTATAAAGAAACCAGGTTGTTTGGGCTGAGCCAATGCAATCTCACTTCCCAGCATTATAACCACAGATGACATGCTTGGTCTATCCTCGGGATGATGTTGCACACACGAGACTAACATGGATGCGACATAACACTTCAGATAGAGTACATGAACTTTCTAAACACGTATCAATCAGTTCTAAAGGCCTTCCTTGATTCCATAATCTCCATGCCTGAAACATGTCAAAACTCCTGTGTGGTGAATGGCCATTCACATGTCTAATATGTCTGAAGAGGAAAAGTATACGCCTGATACTTACATGTCCAATAAGGCTATGGCTGTGGTTTGGATGGTACAATCCCTTATTTTTCCTTCCACTTATGACCTCCAGCACCAAAATACCAAAGCTAAATACATCCGATCTGACAGAAAACAGCCCATCAATAGCATATTCAGGTGCCATGTAACCGCTGTTGAAAGTAGAAACATCATATGCAAGTGAGAACATAATAAACCATTGATGGGGATGAAAACTATATCGTGCAAAATATTATAAGAAAAACTTACTATGTTCCAACCACTCTCTTTGTATTTCCACCAGTCTGATCTCCTCCAATTAAAGTTCTAGCCAAGCCAAAATCTGAAATTTTTGGATTCATTTCATTATCAAGTAAAACATTACTTGCTTTGAGATCTCTATGAATAATTCTTAGCCTGGAATCTTGATGGAGATAGAGGAGACCCCGAGCAATTCCGCAGATAATGTGGAAACGTTTAGGCCAATCTAACAGTAGTCCTCCTCTCACTTGATCTCGCACACAAATCCAACTTCAGTAATATTTACAAAACTGTTTAAAAACCTATATATTAATTATTTTAAAACAATTAAGCAATTAATTTGGCCTAAATAAGGTTCCAAAGGTCCAAACCGAAAATAATTCCATTAGGCATGTATTCATAAATCAGCATTTTCTCCTCTCCTTGAACGCGGCATCCAAGTAGCCTTACAAAGATTTCGATGCTGAAGCTTGGCAATCAGAATAATTTCATTCTTGAACTCATTCAATCCTTGGCCAGAACTTCTTGAAAGCCTCTTCACAGCAATTTCTTGTCCATGTAGTGTCCCCTGGAAATTTACAGCATTTCAAAATATTCCGAAACTCTGGATGAAGTGATTCTTTGTTAGTTTGGCCCTTATTATAAAGCAAGTTACAAGTTTACCTTGAAAACAGGTTCAAATCCACCTTCTCCGAGCTTGTTATTGCTTGAAAAGTTATTTGTGGCTCCTATTATTATGGTTAGGTCGAAGAGCGGGAGCTCCAGGTCCTCCTTTGTTTTGCCTATTTCTGTTTTATTTCATATATATTAGAAATGGGCTTCATGTTAGCGATAGCCTATAAGTAAGAGTAAGCAAACAAAAACTTATATATGCAGATGGAATACGTACTAGTTTCACCATATCTCTTCTAACCAAATTAAACTCGATTGAATTTTAAATCCCTCTATCAAATACTGAACAAAATACAATAAAAAAACAGCCATGAACATTTTGCAAAGATGGCCAGGGTAGGGTAGTTAATCTACCTTTTAATTTTCTCCTGCTTCGGTGAAGGTAATATCCAATGAACAGCACTCCAGAGAGCACTATTGCTACAGAAACTGCATTTGCCACTGCCGTCTTCAGTTTACTGCCATTTTCTTCATCATGGTTGTATGATGCAGTAGAGACGGGACGATAAACAGAAAATTCAGCTCAAAAATAGGAAAAATCAAGGTCAATTATTTAACTTAGATAGAAGCAAAATATAAAGTATTTAACAAGCAGCTCATGTTACCAAGTTCCATACCTAACTGTGAAGCTGGCATCTGAATATACAGATCCTGTCCAGCAGCTGTAAACTGCCTGACATCTATTAGATCACCAAACCAGATGGCACATCCGGTACCTCCTCCTCTGATATCTGAGCTTGTATAAGCCATACAGGAACAATTTTTCAAGCATCTAGTTCTGCATTCCTTGAGATTCATACTTTTGCTCACCCAAGAATGTGTAGCCTCTGGCGGTTTCAGGCCATTAAATTTGACAAACCCATCTTTATATCTTTTCTGGCAGCTCAACGGTTTATTGCG